ATAAACTGAGAAGGGTAAATAATTTTAATGTTCAATGTAATGGGGAGTCCATCACTTTGGTTTCATCAGTAAAATATTTGGGAATCCCCTTTGACCCATGCATGTCAGGAGAATTGATAGGGAACAGTGTAGTAAAGAAAGCGAATGCCAGACTGAAGTTCCTGTATAGACAAGCACAGTGTCTACCTACTGTGGCTCGCAGGACCCTATGTCTAGCCCTTATACAATGCCATATGGATTACGTTTGCTCTTCATGGTACTCTGCCTTGACAAAAAAACTGAAAGATAGACTGCAAATCACCCAGAACAAAATCGTAAGATTCATCCTGGGGCTGGGACCAAGAGAACATGTAGGCCAGGATGAATTACAACAGTTGGATATGTTGAATGTTGAAGACAGAGTAAAACAACTGAAGCTAAATCATGTTTATAAAATTGCTCACAAACAATGCCCAGAATATCTTGCTGTCAATTTTGTCAAGGTTGGGAACCAAAGCAATCATAGTACTAGGGGGAGAGAGCACAACTTTGTAGTACCCACAGTCAGTGGCCAGGCTTCAAACACCTTTTATTGTACAGCAATAAAGGAATGGAACAGACTGCCCGCACATGTCAAAGCCAGTCATAGCATGAACCAGTTCAAGAAGAGTGCCAAAAGGTGTCTGATGAATGTAGCTACGGAAAGGGAGGGGAATGATTTTCTATTTTTTAGCTAACATACGTGTAAATTTTACCTTATTCCTAGTAATGACCCTCGTATTGTAGATAGTCTTAATGACCCTCGTGTAGTAGATAGTCTTAATGACCCTCGTGTAGTAGATAGCCTTTTTAGTATGAAAATAAGATGTTATCTTCATTGTAGAATAATAAGAAAATATTATAACCTTTATATTATAATAATAAGGTAAAAGGACCACAATGGAAATAAGTCACTCTGTCTGACTTTTGTGGGTTATCCCAGGTTCTCTACACATATGCTGCTATGTATCTGTATGTAACTGTATTTGTGTATACCTGAATAAATTTACTTGCTTACTTACTTACTTACCACCACCACTACCACCACCACTATCACCACCACTACCACCACCACCACCCCACCACCAAAACACCACCACTAACCACTCCACCACCACCACATACACCCCACACACCACCACCACCACCACCACTACCACCACCACCACAACCACCACTACCACCACCACTACAACCACTACCACCACCATCAACCATACCCACACACTACCACCACCACCACCACTACCACCACCACTACAACCACTACCACCACCCCCACACCACCACTAACCACCACCACTACACCACTACACCCCACCACCATCACACCACCACTACACACCACCACCACCACTACACACCACCACTACCACACCACTACACCACCACCACACACACCTACCACTACCCCCACCATCTACCACCACTACACCACCACTACAACCACTACCACCACACACCACTACACCACTACCACACCACAACCACCACCACCACCACCACTCACCACCACTACCACACCACCACCACTACCACCACCACTATCACCACCACTACCACCACCACTACACCACCACACACCACCACTACCACCACCACTACAACCACTACCACCACCACCACTACCACCACCACCACAACCACTCTACTCATAACCACTAATACAAATACCATAATACACCTACAAATCTACTATCTAAATAAACACTAAATCGCTACTACTCACACTACTACCAATACCACAACACCACACTTACATAATGTAAACTCTTTAATTATATATTCATTAATACTGGAAAATCTGGGATAATACTCTTAATATCTGTGAAAATTGTAATATCTGTAAATATACAGTTAATATCTGTGCTTGATACTCTATAATATTGTAGAAGAATCTTAATTAATACCATGTAAAATATTGTTAATATCTCTAAATAATATTTTCAAATATGTTTGAATAATATACTTCTGTAACAAATGGTTAATACCTGCGAATGATACAGTTAATATTTGTGAAATATTATTTTAATATTTGTGTGAATAATGTTTTTAATACCTGAAAATATTACTGTAAACGCCTGTCAGTAATATGGTTAATATCTGTTGCCTGGTGGCTAGAGCTCTCGCTTCACACGGCGAGGCTCCGGGTTCAATTCCCGCTGAGGGTAGAAACGATGGGCGTGTAAAGAAACAGTAAAATAGGTACCTGGGTGTTAGTCGACTGGTGTGGGTCGCATCCTGGGACAAAACTGACCTAATTTGCCCGAAATGCTCAGCATAACAAGCTTTCTATATAGTAGTATGTCACTGATGTCAGCTATGGTCTGTATACCTTGTACATGTACTTGTTGTAAATAAAGATATTATTATTATTATTATTATTATTATTATTAATACTATTATTATTATTGTTATAATAATAATAATAATAGAATAATAATAATAATAATAATAATAATAATAATAATAATAATAATAATAATAATAATAATAATAATAATCTTCCCACTTTAAGTCATGGGTGTTGTAAGAGTCGACTAAAATCCCGACAGGGAGGCGCTGTCAATACCTTCTCTTGTATTCACTAACTAAAAACTCAGAGAAGAAAATATTAGCACTGGTGTGTGTGTGTGTGTGTGTGTGTGTGTGTGTGTGTGTGTGTGTGTGTTGTGTGTGTGTGTGTGTGTGTGTGTGTGTGTGTGTGTGTGTGTGTGTGTGTTTGGGAGGGTGTGAGGCATATGGTAACTCAGTGTTACTGTTATGGGTTTCAGAGTCTGACGCAAATATGGATGGTAGCGCAGGAGCATTTGTATACACGAAAGATCTAAGAAATACGCCTCAAAGGGGGTTAATAAATACATACAAGGCCTAGGAATAGGCCTCATAAGGGTTAATGAATACACACAACGCCTAGAAACCAGGCTAGAAAGACTTAAGAATAATAGTACAGTTCAATTTGTGTTTAATTAATGAAAAGAAACAGTATATTTTGGCACTAAGCGAAACTAAGGTGCGGAAGAATTTCATTTGGGGAGGTGCAAATGGGATTAAGTGGAATGTATCTGGGAGAATCAGAGCTGAGTAAGGTATATGGAGAGACAAAAGGGATTGTTAGTGTCGGAACTGAGAGTTACGTCAGCTAGAATAAAGATGGGATGAGAGAACAAAAAGGCACAGTAACGTGACTGGAACAATACACAAATAACCCGCACATAGGAGAGAGGAGCTTACGATGACGCTGGGGTCTGACTTGGACTATTTACAAAGTCACAGTAACAGAAAAGGATAGATTAAGTTTATGGATATAACAGAAAATGGAGAAAGAGCCAGTATACATTAGGCCAGCTAGCAGGGACGAGACGAAAGAAGTAGGAAGAGTAGTAGCAGTAAGACAGGTAGTGGTAGTAGTAGTAGTAGTGGTAGTAGTAGTAGTAGTAGTGGTAGTAGTAGTAGTAGTAGTGGTAGTAGTAGTAGTAGTGGTAGTAGTAGTAGTAGTAACAGTGGGGTCCGTCAAAGACCAAGAAAAATGTCCTCTTTCCTGGCCTCTGACGTGAATGACGGTGAATGTGTTTTCTTTCTCGGGTCACCCCTGTCTTGGTGGGAGACTACCACTGACAAACAAAAAAAACCGAAGATAATAACGTATGTATCAATATTAACATTTGCGTTACAGATGTATAAATTGTTTCATATATATTTTTCTTGCAGAGAGCAGCGAGGCGTCTGGTGTCTGCCAGCAACTCTGAACACATGAAAGGAAGTGTCTGGTGTCCTTCAGCATCTTAGCAGACATGACAGGAACGGAGAACCAAACCAGAAAGCGGTGTTATCAAATGACTTAAAATGCATCATAACTTAGGCCAGTTTTAATACGTAATATTACTGAAGAAGTCGGAAACCTAACGTCACTTGATACCTCAGAGTGCAGACTGACTCAGGATCACGTGTCTGAGAGGCTGCTAGAGTCGGGAGAGTGCAATACGGGATGCTAAAATTGATATCATAAGAGGCTTAACGCAGTGTATTTGATATTAGTTTAGCGTGAAATACTAACGATTATATTGTTTTGTTGGCAAGTGCTGAGAGAGTTTTTTATGAGTTTGAAACCTCTGGTTCTTAGAAAAAATAAGAGAGATTTAGAAACGAGTTTGCGTGCGTGTGTGAGTGTCACAGTGGGGTGGTTGAAGGGTGTCAGACCTACCTGAGTGTGGGAACAGCTGACAAGTGAAGCTCTTGCATCGTCGTTTGTGTTTGTCTCCAGTGTGTGGAGGTGCTGGAGGTCTTCAAGTGTGTCGTGGAGGCCCTTAAAGTGCGCCGAGGAGGCCCGTGAGTGTGTGTCGTGGAGGCACTCGTGGAGTGAAAGTGTGAGTCCCACCACTGTCATGGTTTCAGCCGTGGCTTCCGTCTGGACACAAGACATCCGCACCTCGTCCACCACCCCTACTTTGGACTACCAGGCCACCCACACCGACACCCTGGCTTATCAGGCCGCCCACACCGGCCGCCCACCAGGCACAGAGAGTGTGTGGGCGGGTGAAGACGAGTGGGCGGGCCTGGTAAACTCTTCCCTGGTGGTCGAGGAAGGTAACTTCACCTTAGAGAACCTCTCCGCACACAATAACAAGACGGCCCTCTGGCCGTCTGGACCGGTCATGCGTCTGGGGGTGGAGCTGGAACTCTTCCCGGGGTGGGTTGTGGGCGTATGGACGGGAGTGCTGGCAGCCCTCATGACTGTGGGCGTGAGTGGCAACGTTCTGGTGCCCTTGGTGGTAATGAGGACCAGGGATCTGCGCTCCTCCACCAACCTCCTGCTGGTGAACCTAGCAGCAGCAGACCTGCTGGTGCTGCTGGTCTCACTCCCAACAGCTCTCATCGAACTGCACTCTCGGCCCGAGACCTGGGTCCTCGGGGAGCCCATGTGTGAGTACGAACTTTGTTTTGTCATAGAATTAGATCAAAGGTATAAAAATACATTTTAGCAGCTTAGAAGCAAATATAGTAGTCTCAAGAGAGACTCTCACCCACAGGTACAAAAAAGTTGGTAAGATCCAGAAAGAAGTCGCATGGGATATATTACTGTATAATGTCTGAAAGTATTTCTTCTTTTTTGGGGGGTCACCCGACACTGGTGGGAGACGGCTGGTGTTCAAAAAAAAATAATGTCTGGACATAAACACTAGTGTTCTATCTAATGTTTTATGAGGTTGACTGAACACCTTCTCTTGAAGGCTGAGGGACTGATCACCTCACATTACTTCTTCATGTCTTTCACCACCATCGGTATTATTCTCTGTAAAGGACGGATAAAGCCACTGGTGGGCGAAACGTCTCCACAATAGTTTTGACCATGACTTTCAATCATCTACCTGCTGACTTTGTATGCTACTCATACATCATATTGACAGGTTAGTGACTAAGACATATTGGCAACACCTGGGTATAAAGAATGAGACACTATTTACAACACCTGGGTATCTTATTTGGGTGACGTTTCGCCCACGAAGGAAGCTTCATCAGTGCCTTATTCACCAGCCTACAATATTTGCGTTCCCACTTCGAAGTGCAACTGATATTGCGGTGTCCTCATCCCTATTATGGGAGGGATGGATGAAGAGGAGGAGGAGGAGGAGGAGGAGGAGGAGGAGGATGAAGAGAAGGAGGAGGAGGAGGAGGAGGAGGAGGAGGAGGAGGAGGAGGATGAAGAGAAGGAGGAGGAGGAGGAGGGTAAACAAAGTCTTGGATGGGTACCTCCATCTCCTTGGACTGAGAACCCTACTGAAGCATCGAGGCTATGCCCTTGAGGAGTAAAAATCTACGCATGACTGTACTCGCCTAGTTGTGGTTGCAGGGGTCGAGTCACAGCTCCTCTACTGCCAGGAGTGTGTGAGTGTTTGGTATCACACACTCGTTGTGACAGATTGCAACAGGAGTCTTCTAGCAACGAAGACAAATGATCAATAAAAGTCACGATACCCTGACTGCAATAATTCACAACTAACCCACAATACCCTGACTGCAATAATTTCTCTTTCTTCTGATCTACCTTTCATGTGATGCTTGTCAATTTTGATCCGAGTAAGAGGAGGGAGTACCTGTAGGTTACTTGTAGAGAATTCCGGAGGTCACCGCCCCCGCGGCCCGGTCCAAGATCAGGCTTCCTGGTTGCTGGCCAGATCGATCAGGCTGCAATGTATGCACCGCAGCCCTGTTGATCAGGAAGTGAGTTGAGAAATCAGCTGAATTTCCTCTTGAAAACAGCTGGTTAGTGGGTTGTTGGTAATGCCTCTTGTACATGAAGGGAGGGCGTTGAAGAGTCGTGGTCTCTCTACACTTACTGTGTTCATATGTAGTGATTTCGGTGTGCACGAAAAATGTGAGTCTGTAATTCTGGGTTTGTCGCTACGAACTCCGAGCAGAGAGTATCTGGAGTCGACTACTACACCTGCGTCAGAGCCTACTACATCTGCGTCAGAGCCTACTACACCTGCGTCAGGGTCTACTGCATTTGCGTCAGGGTGCTACTACACCTGCGTCAGAGCCTACTACACCTGCGTCAGGGTGCTATTACACCTGCGTCAGAGCCTACTACACCTGCGTCAGAGCCTACTACACCTGTGTCAGAGCCTACTACACCTGCGTCAGAGCCTACTACACCTGTGTCAGAGCCTACTACACCTGCGTCAGAGCCTACTACACCTGCGTCAGAGCCTACTACACCTGCGTCAGAGCCTACTACACCTGCGTCAGAGCCTACTACACCTGTGTCAGAGCCTACTACACCTGCGTCAGAGCCTACTACACCTGCGTCAGAGCCTACTACACCTGCGTCAGAGCCTACTACACCTGCGTCAGAGCCTACTACACCTGTGTCAGAGCCTACTACACCTGCGTCAGAGCCTACTACACCTGCGTCAGAGCCTACTACACCTGTGTCAGGGCGCCACCCCTCCGTTTATAGTGTAATGATTGGTGTTGGTCAGCCGTCAAGCATATTTGACTTGTGTTTGTTGTGTGCGGGTGTGTGGCAGACCTTCTGTTTGTAGTGATTTACTGAGGGTCAACACGAGGTGTTTGTCCACTGATGTCCTTCCTTCTTTCAGTGTCCAAACTGTGTTCTGCCAGGTGTCCTGTTATATGTCCTGTTATGTCTCTTATCATGTGTTCTGTCCCGTGTCCTGTCATGTCATGTGTGTGTGTGTACTCATCTATTTGTACTCACCTGTTTGTGGTTACAGGGGTTGATTCATAGCTCTTGGCCCCGCCTCTTCACTGATCGCTACTAGGTCTTCTCTTTCCCTGCTCCATGAGCTTTATCATACCTCATCTTGAAACTATGTATGGTTCCTGCCTCCACTACATCACTTGCTTGGCTATTCCACTTCCTGAAAACTCTATGACTGAAGAAATACTTCCTAACATCCCTTTGACTCATCTGAGTCTTCAACTTCCAATTGAGACCCCTTGTTTCTGGGTCCCCTC